CGAAAACCTCTCCAAAAAAAAAAAAAAAAAAACAAAGGAAAAAAAAAGAAAAAAAATTACTTGCAGATACTCTTGTGTGTTTATAACTGTGAACAAGTAGTAATTCTTAAATGATTAAAAAATATATGTAGACTCTCCAATGTTGTCTTTCCACCCCTAGTGGGTCTTCATACTCATCTACAGTTCATACGCTCTGTTTGGAGTCAGTGGTCTAGTTGGTGCAGTCACGAAGAGAGAGCTTGGCCCTGGGGTTTGGCCTTACGGGTACACAGTTCGCTGTCCACGTGATGAGCTGCCCTGTTGCTGGCTCAACCCTTCTCAGTGGCCCAGCCACTCGAACTCCACTGCCATCGCATGCACTAGAACTTAGCGGCCATAGCCACATGCCACTCCTGACTATTTGGACTGAAATGAATCACAATGAAATAGAATTTAAGATGCAGTTTTCTGGTGGCACTGGCTACATCCCAAGTATATGATAGCCACCTGTGGTCAGTGACGGATAAAGAATTTGTCTGTCATTGTGGGGAGTTCTATCAGATAGCACTGCTCTGAAGTCACTGCCTCTACTTGTCCTCAAGAAGCTCGTTACTTGTAGCTGCTCTGACTTGGTTAGGGTTTCACTGGTGTTTCCAGTAGTCAGGGAGCGAGAAAGTGGTACGCAGAGAGATGAGTATGTTGGACAACTGCAAAAAAGATTTAAGGTGCTGAGGAAAAGTACGCAGAGGTAAGAACAAAAGTGCTGAGACGGTTTAGACTGAAAGGAGGAAGGCTGGAGGGAGTCATTATGATGGTCTATAAATACATTAAAAAGATAATATAAAGGAGACAGTATTCCCATTAGTCAGCTTAGACCAAGCCAGAAGCATTAAGCTTAAGCTCCTTCAGAAAGGAAAATTTAGGTTATTTAAGGTGAGCGATGGCAGGGAAGGGGGAGCATTGCCTGCGTCTAACACCAGTCAGGAGCCAGACAAGTTGCCAAAGGACATGAAGGAATCCTCTTTGCTGGATCCACTCAAGGCTAAAGCTTTTGTCCTATTTATGGAAGATGGTTTTTCACAATAATGAAATCAATTCTGCTAAGAGACAGCTGGATTGATTAACCAATTCTCTACAGGTTCTTTCCAAATGGAATAATTTAGAACAATCTCTGTGGATATTTTCTTCTCACATGCCCTTTGGAAAATAGCAACTCACACATCATTTTTACCTCTTTTTATTTTTCTTAAACACCCTTTTCATCATGCTCTGGTCCTGATCTGCACCCCATCTGCCTCAACTCCCCTACCCTGGACCTCCTACGCTGGTCTATAGCCTGTAAATATCAGTCTGATTCTTCTCCAAAAGCAGGGTTCATTCCCCTAGGGTGAATTATTCACATTGTACAGTCAAATTGGTTTTTGTGTAATTTGTATTTTTATTTATTTATTTTTTCTTTCATTTATTTATTTTTACATTTTGTAATTTTTATTTTTAAAAAGAGATTCAACAGGTATTTTTCAAGAGACCCTTAGTTATACAATAGGGAACCTCTGTGGGAAACTTGAATGTGTTTGTGTATATGTGTATATTTGACATTAGGGTAGGATTACCTTTACCTGTTGCTAAATATGCTGTCTTATTTATCTTGCCCAGTTTTTCTTGTATCTTCAACTATTTCTAGAAATAATTGCTGCTAGTCTAAAGATCTCTGAAGATTTGTATTTTACAATTGTTAAGTTTGATAAAGATATCTTCTATATAGTAAATATTTATAAATTTCCACCAGAACTTTGGAATGTAAAAGTTGCTAAATGCTGAATTAGTCATTGTAATTGAGCCTAGAGAAAGATTCTTCTGCCTGATCTTTGGAACTAACCAAATGTTATATGAAATAGGAAGATGATTACAAGTCAGGAGCCACCAAATCCACAGTGTTTGAGTTATAATGAGGCTTTCTGTCCATATTTAGGTCAACATAGAGAGCACATTTACATTCAGTCATCTTCCCCTGATTCTGTATGTTATCAGCAAACACGTAATTAGCTCGAAACAAACACCTTGTCTAAACCTAGAAGCTTTCATGAAAGTAGTTTTCAATGGTTGTCTTACCCTCAGAACTTAGGGAACCTTAAATTTAGAAGAGGAAAAAGATATTAAAGAAACTAACTTTCATCTCCTTTCTTACAGAAACAAGGACAGAGTAACCATAGAAAACACCTTCTCAGTGGCCAAACCAAATGTACCTCGTTTTGCTGGGGGTGGATTTCCCCTCAACAAGTCATCCAAGGTGGAATCCTAACTTGAAGCTGCTGGCCAGGTCCAATCGAACATCTCATGAACTTCACTCAGGACTTTTGGGAAGAATCTCATTCAAATATTTTGTACCACAGAATCAGGTGCTCAGTGTCCAGGATGGAAAGAAATGCATAATTATCATAGTCATGGCCATGTAAGAGTTTCACCTGGTCCACATGGATAGTAACAGATTGTAATTCTATCTGTTCAATTAGGCTGACCCATTGCACGAAGCAGATCATTAGTTACTACTACATTGATTAATTTGAAATGCACCGGATTTAGACATTCCATATGGATGAAGCCTTGCATCTTAATTTCTCTGTTCTAGACAATGGTGCACTAATGGTTTTATATTTGAAAATATTTTTGAAATGCAGTGCATCCCTTTTCGCCTAATTAATAAGAATCTATTTTAATTATTCCTCATTAACAAGTCATTGCACAAAATGAGAGAGAAGGACAAGTCTTCAAGTATTTAAGAAGTATTTTGAGACTAATTTCTATGTGGAGTTTCTTTTCAGGCCTGGAATAGGAAAATCTATTCTGAAGAGACATACCAATAAATACTTCATCATAAAAAGTTTTTTAAAAAAGAACCCTTGTAGAGATTTTGATCTTTGCTTTGGTAGAGTACATAATTAAAGTTTCAAAACAATTGTGAGAAATGTTTAACACAAGAATGTGATTCAGAGGAGCCAGTAACATGAAGGGTTTGGACTGGTATCCTCCAAAGGACTGTTCTTTCTATGGATCTCATACTTGATGACAGAGTCACTTAGCATAGGGATCTGTTTGGCTCTAAGGCTACTGCCTAGCATTTTGAGTCCTTGAGTAACTAGATTAGGGATGAACAAGGACAATGTAAATGGGTCATTCTACTTGTGCTAAGGGACCAGGATTCCTGTTGTGAAGAGCAGGAGTTTTAGCAACCTGGCAAGTTTATTAAAAGAGTTCATGGAAAATACAAGTTATGAAAAAAAATGCATAGATTTCAGATTTTTTCCTTTGCTTTAGACTAAAATTATATTTTAATTCTATTTTTCACTTTCACTTTTTGAAGCCCCCTTGTACAGGGAGGTGGATTCAATGGGATCTCTAGACATCTTGTGACCCTGAAGTTTACTAAACGCCAGCCTCCTATCAGATGGGGAGTCTCCAGAAGCAGACCATTATGGCCATGAAAGTGATATGTTATTCATTTATCCCAAGAGAAGTAGGGAAGTGAGACAGGGAAGAAATGAGACCAAAGAAGGGTGTAATATCATATCGAGTTCCACAATGGAGACTTTGGCTCCATCTTGCAGGGGAGCTAGGCAATGCAATCACATCTCAGAGCTGTCCTTATCAGGGGTGAGAGAGCTGGGGTGTTTAAGTTCCCCACATTGCTAGTTATTGGCCAAGGACGGCTCTGAAGGGACCCTTCTGGTTCTCTCTGCCTGTAGGCAGGGTAGGGCCTGGCAGCTTGGTAGCAAGCCCTCAGACAAAGAGATCATAGGCGTGGGAAGTGAGAGTGGTTAAGGGCTCGGGGAATTGGGTTGGGCAGTGTCACCCTTTTCTGCTGCCATTAACTGGGCCAGTGAGAGAACTCTACAGATGGAAAGTAACTCCATTATAGCTGGAGATGTGTGATTATCAAGTCTTCAGGTACCACTCAAGAAAATAGAGATGGGAATTTACTCTAGAGAATTTACTAAGAATATTTTAAACCTACATAATCCCAGTGGACCCATTGCAATATTTGAAAATCAGTAATGATATAGCCAAGTTCGTTCTGAATCTTGGGGTGGCTCCATAAGAGGCTGACTTCTTTAGGGGAGTAAGGCCCATAATTCTTGTTTATTTATTTATTTTCTGAAACTTAAAAAAAATTAATTAATTAATTTACATTAATTCTTTGAGCATCGTCACAGCATACAAAATGTGGTTTCCCATCCAGAATACACTGCATAGTGGCTTAATCATACATGTTATCATCAATAATTTTCCATTTCTAGTTTCATATATATATATATATATATGTGTGTGCGTGTGTGTGTGTGTGTGTGTGTGTATCCCCTTATTTCTTGAATAGCAAGTTCGACCGATATATACATATCTGTGAACACATGTTTGACTTTAGGCATGAAACTCTAAGCAGAATATACTGAGAATATACTATAAGGTAGCACCTAACTGATGCTATGTAGCCTGCTACGGTCATTAAATAGGTATTTTTTAATTTCTTTTTTTTTTTTTTGGAGAGGTTTTTGCTATAGGGAGCATGTGCTTGCCAGAAAGACAGAGTCAGAGAGATAGAAAGCGAGAAATCACCCCCCAGGGGGGATGGCTATGCCGCAGTCCCTTCTCCTCCATTCTCCTCTCAGGATCTTGGGCACGCACACACACGCACCAGGAGTGAATCTAAACCACCGGGTCGTGACTCAAACCGCAGTCAACTACATGAGAGTCCAGTGACATAGCCATTATGCTAACTGCTGGTCCCTATAGGTATTTTTTAATTTCAAGAAAAGCAGTTTTAGCTTAATAAATGAAAGAAATGCTAAGGAACTTTGCTTAAAGCTTGAAGCCAGGAAACAGGTTAGGATTCTGTTCAAATAGTAGGCACATGAACCTATCAGCAGCTCAAGACAGGACAATTTTTAATCTATGGCAAAGACTTTGGAGACGTGTTTGACTCAGATCCTGGCACATCACAACAATGGCTTATTGGAAGATTCAGTGAATTAATGGATGTAAACTTAGAATACTGTCAGGGACATAGTAATTACTTGATAAATGTCTGCCATTATTATTATGTAAGAAATACTTAATGTTTTGGAATTAGAGAAAAAAGTTGTTACCTAGTGCTTGCCAACTATAAAGGTAATTGTTATCCTCATTTAGAGGGTGGGTGATACTAAAACATCTGGATGAAACTGAATTTTGTAATGTAATGTATAATCGAGTAGCTTGTAGAAATGCCATATTGCGTGCCTTATGGAAATTTCCATGTATTTTCTTACAGTTGTGATTGAGGGACCTTTTCAGTTTCAAAGTCAAAGTTTTCACTCTTCCTCATTTCACCAGAGAGAAAGACCTTGGCATCTTCTAGCTGCCATCTTCTCCCTGTTTTTCTCCACATCACAGAGCAGGGTGGTCGGCCTTTGCTGATGACCAAGGTGTGGAGAGTCAAGATGGACCTGGACTCTGGGAGCTGACAGGGTGGCTCTATTAGACTTGACACACTTGTTCAAGTGGAGGAGGAATGAATTAGGACTAGAAAAGGTGGGCGATGCTGCCACTGCCTCTTATTTACTGCACATGCTCACAGCACAGAGTATTATAAGCAGTAACTATTTAGATGTAGGTGTTACCACTGTAGCCCTGGCACAAAAATGAGCTGTTAAAAACATTGGGATTGGTGTTACCACTGTAACCGTAGCACAAAAATGAGCTGTTAAAAACATTGGGATTCGCAAATTGTTAAAGATAACTGTGAACTCACAGTGGGCTGAGGTGTTTTTAAAATCACAAATCTGAGCTGCATTGTAAAGCAACATTAGGAGATTGTACAGTAGTATAATTTTACCCTGGGGTTTTTGGAGTTTCAGAAAGGAGTCCTGTTGCTAAACCATCCATTGACTCCCAACTGGGCTGATGGGGAACTAGTATGGTTTTTCTGCTAATAGAGAGAGACATGATAAAGAAGACTCCTTGGTCATCATTTGCTTCTCAGCGACTGCTCTTATAGCCAGGTTTTTATCGTGCTCATCTCTAAAGAATTGCTCCGAGCAAAGGTTTGTGACTGTGATAAGCCTCAGAGACAGCAGTCGCTGTGGTAGGAAGAGATGGCAGCAACTCTGCTTGTCATGGGCTATAATTCTGCTATAAAAAGTTATCCAGTGTTGATAATTATTATTTGATTTCTCAACTTCCTCAAACATAGTCTGAAGTTTGACCTAGGCCAAGATACCCATAGGAAAAAATTTATATAGTGAATTTTGCATACTATGACATTTCGGAGTCTGGATAATTTGAGGAAAGATAGTATCTTTTTTTTAAACATAATCAATTACATGGAGATTTAATTAGGGTAGAAAGAAAGGGAGGACATTTTAAAATATTAAAACAGTAAAATAATTTAAAAATATATCTCACTATTTTCTTTGTAGTAGATGGAAAATATTTTTATAGCATTATCCATTTTTAACTTCTAATTCAATGCTGTTTTAGTATACCATTTCTCATATCTATTATTTAAAAGTTCCATTAGGGTTTTGAAATCCATTAGAGTTTAATAACAGAATGAGTTGTGATATCAACAGGGTACCATTTTTCTTTTTTATAATTAAAATAGATTTTTTTCTTATTTTAAAATACCTGATGGTTATAGAAAATTAGAAAACACAGATAAGCAAAAAGAAGAAAAAGGACATCAATCATATCACCTTTTATTGATAGCTGTTGTTTTCCTCGGTTAACACTCATCTCATTCACATGAGTTGGCCATATTAATCATTGACACTTGTTCTGGTTGGCCAGTGCTTGTCCCTCACATTCGTTAACTATTTTGAATATTACCTTTGAAATACTATTGTTTTGTACTTTTGAGTGTGTCTTTCTGGTTCTCTGAAATAAGTATCATCTATATATCTATTTATCAATCTCTCTCTCTCTTCTTTTTTTCTTTGCGGGGGGGGGGGCTGTTTGTCACAGGGCGTGTGTACTTGCCAGAGAGAGGCAGAGTGAGGCAAAGTGAGAAATCATCCCCCAGGGCAGATGGCCACACCACAATCCTTTTTCCTCCATTATCCTCCTGGAATTTTGGACACGTGTGCACACACACCAGCCATGATTTTCAAGGGTCTGAAACTCAAACTGTGGTTGACCATGTGGGAATCCAGACACTTTAATTACCATTACACCTGCTGGCCCCTCTCTCTATCTTAATAGATTGATGTATTTGCTTTTTAAAATCAGTTTTACTGAGTTATTGTCTACAAACGAAAAGTAAGTATATTAAGTGTACAGTTTGGTAAGTTTTAACAAATACATAAGCCCAAATAACCACTACCACAATCACCACCCCTCAGAAATGCCCTTCTCCTTTTTGGCGAGTCAATAGTCCCAGCCTCCATCCACCCCAAACACCATGCATCTGTTTTCACCCTTGTAGTTTTGTCTCTTCTAGAATTTATATAAAAGGTTCTCATACTCTTTTGTGCCTGGCTTTTTATTTTCAATAAAAAATAATTTTTAAAATTCATCCATATTGTGTTTCAGTAGTCAATTTACTTTTTATTGTGAAGCAATACTCCTTTATATGGAAATAACACATTTTATCTGTTGATGGGAATTCAAGTTGTTTCCAGTTTTTGCTACTATCAGTAAAGATGCTATGAACATTCCTGTACAAGTCTCTACATACATATATGTTATAATTTCCTCTGGGAAAATACCAAGGAGCAGAACTGCTCCATCAAAGGGTAAGTGTACATTCAACTTGCTGAGAAGCAGCCACACGGTTTTACTGATCCTACCATTTTGCATTCCTACCAACAGCG